GAGCAGCCAGTCCCTCACCTCATCATGCCTTCAGGAAAGAGGCATTGCAGTTGTTGAGAATTTTACAGTGCACTTTACAATCCCCAGGCAGACAGAGATGGACAAAGAGCACAAATGCAGCGAGCTGAAGGACCAGCTCACCATATCGCTCTCATGCCTCGCCTGCAGTTGATTGCCTGTGCCTGAGAGCACTGTGCAGCTGAATCAAGAGAGGGGCTGCATTTGGGGCTCGGAGAAGAGCAACAAACAGGAGCAGCCTTACAACAGAGCATGTTGCTGGTAGCCCACAGCAAACAGAAAGAAGCCGTGTGTTAACGGAGGCTGTGGTTGTCCACCCAGACCTTCTAAGAGCTGACACAGCAAAGTCCCCATCTCTTGATTTCAGATACCACGAGGTCAAGCCTCGCTCATGACCTCTGAAGGGAAAAATACAGAGACCTGATTTCAAAAATAAATACAAGGGCTCTAAAGTTCAAGTGAAATCCTTATTTCTGCAGATATTTTAGCTGTTTGCATCTGCCTACTGCACCTGTAAGAGCAAAGCAGAGAAGATATTTGCTCGTGCAGATTTGCATTAAGATATCAGAAACAAAAAGATCATACTCAGCAGTTCCAATAGAGAACATACTTGATTTTATACAACTGCATTTCTAGAAGCAAGTCTTAGTCAATAGTATGCAGTTTATGATATTGGTAAGAGCATGCCGTGTAAAAGTGTAGGAAGAAATATGATTTCTAGTGCACTCTAGCACAGAGCAGTTGCAGTGCTGTCTGCACTTCTACTTTGCAGAAGTCACATGGGAGTCAGCTGCTCAGCAAAGCAGCCAGGTCCTTTGGGTCTGAGCGACCTCTGATACCCTCCTGCCTTCGGAGTTAGGCTATCAACATGCTTTCAGTTTTAAGGCTTCAAAGTTCAGACGTGCAGCTGGTCACACAGGCAGTTATTAATTGTTTTTGCATTGCACCAAGAAGCCCTGGGTGCCAGCAAGAGTGAAAGACAGCAGGCATCTAGTTCTGTTGCTGGTTTAAAGGCACCTTTTTAATATCTGCCAGGTAACCAGGGCAAAGGAAGCGAGGTGATTAGTAAATTACAACTTAGAAGAAACTTCAGATTCGCTATGCTTAAAGTGAAATAACACACTGCAAAAGGTACAAAGACTCGGTTGTTTACCCAGTTGTGATAGCTGGGGTCTGAGATTTAAGGCTTTGGATGCAGCCACATCCACTTGGGCATCATTTGACCTTGTTCCTAGCAGCCACTGCTCAGGGCTTGTGTGCTTCCTTGAGCTGTCCCTTCTTGTTATGTATTTTTCCAGCTGACCCCATTGATCCCATCTGAAGGAGCTGAGCGGCTGCATGGAGAAATATCAGACCTGACAAACAACAGCTGTAGCTCCAAAAGAAGTCAGAAGGCCTTTTACATGGTGTTCTCCCCCACCACCCCTCTGGGCAACAACCCTGCTAAGGAGTCTGTCCCCTTCCTTCTTACAGCCCCCCTTTAGGTTCTGAAAGGCCCCTCTCGGGTCTCCCAGAAGCCTTCTCCAGGCTGAGCAGCCTCAGCTCTCTCAGCCTGTCCTCATAGGAGAGATCCACAAGGTCAACACCAAATGCATGTTGCTGTGTCACAGCCAGCCATCACCTTACTTGTCCTTCAGGCCGCAGCATCCCCGTCCTGTCTCTCTAGCAGCCACCTTTACAAGAGCCGCTTCTTGATCTCAAGCAGCCCAAAGAAATCATCCAAACGCCTCTGTTCTGAGACATGGCTTATATCAACTACCCCCAAGGCACCCTGTCCCCGTGGGGATGCTCTGCCCTCAGCTCCCCAGCAGCTGGCCCACATCAGCTCCTGCAGAACAGCTGTGGGGACTGCCATGGCAACACAAACCCTTGGAGCAGGACGGTCACATCTTGGTCAGTCAGGGCTACTTTTATGCTCTGAGTCCCACCGTACAGATTAAAACACATAGCACCAAGATTGAATCAGGAACTAACAGATGTTGCTACAGAGAACTGGAATTTACAACTCCATTTTACTTTGCCGCTCGTTCTTCTATTTCCTCCTGCCCCTACCCTTCCACATAGTTTAAAGCCAATATATTCTTAGTCGCAGTATTTCAGATTACACACGTGCTTCAGAGCAAATCCACATCATACCAGTTTTCTACGCTCAGATAAAAAGATGTTAAGACTCTGCATTGCCACAGAGGAATGCTTATTACAAATATCTGCACATCACTGCATAGAAGCATTGCCCATAAGCTGCTTCTGAGAAGCAGTGAGTTAACATCTTGCACACTCCACATGCCTGCCTATAACACCTTCCCACTGCTTCAAATGAGAAGCTCATTCAGAGACAACTGTCATCTTTCACTTCTGCTTGCTTTTTTTTTCCTGAAAATGAGCACATCCTGGAGCAGACATCAGCTCCTGCTATTTCTCCCTGAGTGTTGCCCAGCAGCCTGTCACAAGTTACTTTTTCTTCACTAGTTATGCATCCTAAGCCAAGAATAAAGATGCACAAGGGCAAAGAAACAGGTGTTTGGAAAACCAAAATACATTTCTTTGGCAGCAACTATGTTAGATTCCTTCAGCTAAACCTCTATACCCTCACAGGCACCCTTGCAATTGTGCACACATTTTTGAGGCAGCACATAAGCATGAGTTCATTTTTTATTTCCCAGAAGATAGACAGGTGCCTGGATGCCAGATACTTTCTCTGACTCTTACAGGACCTGCTAGGAAGGGAAAAGGGAAGAATAGGCCTCTCCATAACACACACACACCTAGCCTGGTTGGCAGGACCACTGGATGACAAATGCATTAACTTAGGACTCAGAAGTTCAGGTGCTAACCTCAGCCCCAGCCTCCTTTGCATACCTTTAGCACCCACCTCATCCTTCTGGGAGGAACTGCGGTCATTACCAAAAGGCCAGGAAAACAAACAGCAGCTTCTTTGATGTTGAGCCCCAGACACAGGGTGAAAATTCCTGCTCTGCTGCCGGTTGGATCTGCTCGAGAACTTGAAGTGGTGAATCAGCTCAGTTAGCTCAGCATGGCACCCAGATTAGGCCATGATACAGGGTGACTGCGGAGAGGTTCAGCGTCTCCAGAGCACTTCTTAGCACTGCCACATGCTACCATATGACACTGATAAGCAGGGTGTAGGCTGTGCTACTGGGATGTTCTATACCCACTGCAGTGCATAAAACCACCTCAAAGTTCAGCAAGCCCACTCTGAAGTTCACAGTCATATTGCAGCCTCAGCACGGTTCCACTGGGCATCACAGCTGAGGACAAGGGCGTGCAGAATGGCAGCCGACCATCACCAAACTACTGCAAGCGTGACAATGCAAATGTAGCCCGTTGCTGCCAGAGATGTCAGCCCTGACAGCCAGCAAGCTCAGCAGGGCGCAGAACTGTGGTTACAATGCTTTCTTAGCACCGCTCCCTTCTGCTGGAAAAGAAATGGCACTTTGTGCTATGAGCAACCAGCCAGCCTGTAGGTGTAGTTTGCTACTGGGGTTTTTGGGACAGCTGCTTTGAGAGATTCTTGCTTCATGCATGCTGTCTCCAGGAATGGAACTCACCCAGTTGTCAGCTTTCACATCAGACCATGGACTACAGTCTTCTAAGCTCCAGCTGCAGCCTCCACGCCAGCTCGCTCAGGGGCTGGCAAAGCAGCTGCTATCAGCAAGGCAAGATATGCAGGAAAACGTCACGCATTTTAATCAAAAGCAGAGAAAGCTAATTTAGGAAGAAGCAGTGGGGGAGGGGCAAGCCAGCTTTTCTGTAAAGCTTAGTATGATCCCAGAGATGAACTAGTTGGATTAGCTACTTAGCAGCAGTGCAGTTCAAACATCACGAGGCTCAGGAAAGGAAACCCTTTGAAGATGGGAACAGCATTCCTGAATTACCTGCTTTCTTACCTACTGCGAGTGCACTTGGGCACTCAATCTGGGAAGCCACCAGCTCTACCTCAGAGCTCATCGGATGCAAATGCATAACAACAACTCCTCCAGCCACACCCACCAGCCCATGAATTACCTACAACACTCAATTTATTTGGCAGCATTACAAATGGGCATTGCATCTTTTGCCCTTTGTTTTTCCCCACTACTAAGCAACAGACAAGATGACTGCGGGAAGGAAATGGCATCATGGAAAACCAGTGAAGGCTACCTCCCTTGCAGGGTACAGCCATGGTTGGGCTTAACACAGATGTTTTAAATGCCAGGAGCCTGACCAACTCACTTGAAACACTGGTGTTTAAGTTACATGCCTCATGGTAAGGCACTGACACAGCTGGGTCAATTCCTCACCAACTTTGGGAGTTGCCCCCAGTACAAGAAAGACATGGAGCTCTTGGAACGAGTCCAGAGGAGGGCACTAAGATGACCAGAGGGCTGGAGCACCTCTACAGGGAAAGGTTGAGGGAACTGGGATTGTTTAGAAGGCTCGAGGAGACCTCATTGTGGCCTTCCAATACTTGAAGGGAACATATAAACAGGAAGGGGAACGGCTGTTTATGAGGGTGGACAGTGATAGGACAAAGGAGAATGGTTTTAAAGTGAGACAGGGGAGGTTTAGGTTGGATATTAGGAGGAAGTTTTTCCCCCCAAGGGTGGTGAGGCACTGGCACAGGTTGCCCAAGGAGGCTGTGGATGCCCCATCCCTGCAGGCATTCAAGGCCAGGCTGGATGTGGCTCTGGGCAGCCTGGGCTGCTGGTTGGTGACCTGCACACAGCAGGGGGTTGGAACTGGATGAGCACTGTGCTCCTTTTCAACCCAGGCCATTCTGTGATTCTACGATTGCATCAGGCAGGCATGCAGAAGGCCCTGCTCAACAGGTCATCAGATTTGACGTCTGCAAGATGAAATGGCAGTTAAGCTCCTACAGGGGGCTGCAAGGCATTATTAAAAACAATGAGCCGAAGAGGAAAAAAAAACCAAAACAACTTCTTCTCAGCACTAACTCTGTTTTTGTTCAATGTTCCCACTAGGCAGCCAGCTCCCTGTGTTCTTGAACATCAAGGCCATGGTGCACGGGCCCGGCTGGCCTGGGATCTGGGCAGGTACAAAGGCTGCCTTGAACCCTCACAGCGAGCGGCCAGTCATGATCCAGCTACTCCCAGCCACCAGCACCAAGGAAAAAGGTGAGGCACCTTCTCCAGCAGAATTCAGAGCCCCGCACCACGGCTGCAGTACCCTTATCTGCAACCTGCAGATGGAAAGAGAATCTTGCTGGTTTGGAAACGTACGAGTACCAATATTGCACAAAGCACAGCCACACAACTAAACGTCAAAAGAGTCGCACACCGTAAGGAACCAAAAACAGTTTAAGAATTCAAAAGGCTTACAGTTGTCAAAGCTGATGGGAAAAGCTTTAGGAGACTTGGCCACCTTAAGGAACTCTATGGAGACAAAAAACAGCAACGCTCCTATCCACAAGCATGGCTCTGGGAAGACCTCAGCCTTCTGAATCAACCCGTATTTCTGCATCCACAAACACTTCTCTTCCCACAGGCTTACTGCCACAGTGGGAGACTCCTCATGGGAGCTCGCCCTCTGTCTGACACCATTTTGTGAGATCACAAAGGAATCTCCGAAGCTCCAAGCAGACAAAAACCAGTTCATGAGATTATATTTATTTTTAAGTGCTTGACTGTCACTCCTAAGCCCTTTGGCCTTGCGTTGACCTTTAGGATTTCTAGAGAAGATGCTACTTGTACTGCTTAAAGTGTTTTAGCTTTGGGATGGTTCCAAACAGCCAAGTGACTGCAACTATTATGAGAGTAATTTTCCAGCATGTGGATTACTAGCATGTGGCCACTTAAGCTATTTTTATATGGGATTGGAAGCCTTGCAGGTCACAGTCCCATGGTTTATCACTCAGCTGCATATCCTTTATGTTCAAAATCCCATTTAGCATTCTCAGTCCTGCTCTCTCTTCAATTGCATCAACACAGAAAGCCAAAGGATACAGTGTGTGAACAATGAATAGGAAAACTCTGCTGTTTTATAGGACTTCCTCATTTAGTGAAGTGGGAGAAAGACCGCACAGTATTGGCACAAGACTTGGTTGCTTTGCAGCACTGTTCGTGTTTACTTATGTCTGCTACAGCCTTCAATTCCTCATTACGTAGCACAAGGAGAATCTCCTCACTGGTTCTGCAATTCCCTTCACCATCTGTTGAAAAGGAAGATGGGTCAAGTCAGTTACAAGGGACATTAATAATTTAAGATGTGGGTTTTTTTTGTTTGCAACAGCAGAAATACACTGCATACATATCTATATATTTTTAAATAGTTTATGTCAGACCAAAGAAACTCCATGGGACCATCCAAATTCTGAGTAGAAGCCAAGGTTCCTGCACCGTGCAAACCATGGAGCCAACCCAAAGATCAACAGCTATCAAAGACATCAGAAGTTGGATTCTCATTGCTTTTCTCCTGCTCCTAGCTGAGGGCCCTGCCCCTTCCTTCACCCTATCCTAGCGTTTACGTGAGCCAAATTCTACTTGTTCATCCAGAAGAGAATCACCAACATTTTTTCCATTCAGGAAAATTGCACTTGCACTCAAGTGAGCCAGGGAACTCCAGAGCATGTGACAGAAGCTTGCAGATGCACCTAGCATGACAGAAACAAAAGGCTGGACACGGCAACAGTGTTTTCCCCATGTTAAAGTGGTTAGGTATTAAATTGCTGCAAGAGAAAGCCTCGTTTAAGCACAGAAGGAAGGCAGCTACACAATTTGCCAAGTGGAGAGCTAGACTAGAATTACAGTTCACCACAACGCTGCCGTTTCAATGGACTTTTCAAACTAAAAAAACAGACACCAAGTTTAGTTAATAACTATAGAACATCACCATACCTGCAGACACACAAACAGGAGTGGCAGCAGACAACGCAGCAGGCATTTCCCCTTACTTCAGCTGTGTGTATACAACCGTTCAGTACCTTCGACCATAAATAAGTACATATATTTCCAAATGCTTCCATGTTGATATTCACTGCAGCCAGACCAGAAAGCCAGCAGATATATTGAGAGCACTGCAGAACGTCCTTGATACCAAAGTGTGCATTTTCTTTCTTTTCCTTTGTTTTTGTTTGTTTTTTTAATTGTTTTACTCACAGTTCTTGTTAGCTTGGTCAACAAAGCAAATGTCTGAAGTGTCAGTCTACCAGAGAAGTGCTTACACACTGACAGCCCCACCTGTCCAGAGATATTGACCATAATTCCAGTTGAATTTCCATTTTTACTTGATAAAAAGGAGTTTCCAGTAAGCTGCAGAGCCTGCAGATCCCAAGCCCCTAACGGCCTGAGCTGCTCACTGCCTTCTAGGTAGCATCACAGAATCGCTCAGGTTGGAAAAGACCTTAAAGATCATCAAGCCCAACCACAACCTAACCATTACCCTAACTCTAACAGCTCTCTGCTAAACCGTGTCCCCGAGCACCGCATCCACACTGCTTTTAAATCAGCATCCAGCTGACAGTTTGAAATGGAGTAGCTTTCACAAATTAAAATCAGATGGATGCTGCACGTGCTTTTTTCAGTCTGGAGTACTAAAGCTGAAACTTTGCTCATGGAGTTTGAGAAATTGAAGACTACCTTGTTTAAAAACAAAAACAAACTCATTTGCTTAAGCCCACCAACAATCTCATTTTCAGGTACACACACAGTGGCACTTTGTTACTGAGTGATTTCCAAATAGAAGGACATACAGTGCAATAGTGGCATTCTTCTGACAGCCCTCTTCACACGCGTTTGAGCTCAGTGCCAACCACACACATGGAACCTCTGAGGAACTTACAGCACCAGCCAGGGTCATAACTAACTGCAAGGAACAGTGGAAAGCAAAACTCTGCTCGAGTTCTTTTCTTCCACATATAAACAGAGTAAGGCTTCCAACGCTACCAATGGTATTCATGTTTCAAAGCTTGGAAAGCCTTCCAGCTGGACGACTCCTGCAGCTCTCACTGATGTCACTAACAGGTAACAGGATGCACCGCTAGCCGACAAGCACAACTTGTCCATTTTAAGAAAGAAGATACCAAATGCCAATTACATGAATTTCAGAAAGTTTATTGCACCAAATGCCGCAGAGAAATAGACCAAAGTGGCAATGTACATAAACGACTATATGAAAAAAGCCATCAAAAACATGTAGCCTGACATCAGTATTCAGTCATTCCTAAATTAAAAAAAAACTTGTGCTCTCCAAACATGCAAAATAGCAACACATGTTTTTATCTATATGGAAATCCTACTGTGTATGACAAAGTAGCATACTTGATATAAAAAAACCACACATCTAGAGTGCATTCAGCAGTTCAGACTTCGGTTTGATCCGGGTCCTTTTAACTCAAGTAGAATTTATACTTGAGGAATAACTGATCGTTTTGTGTAAACTGTATACAAGAGTTTGATGCATCGAAAAAGGCTTTTTGACTTTTAAAAAAGGCATTCAGTAGGGGTGGCAAAGTCCCATCTGTTACTCTGCAGATGTAATTAGAAATATGAATTAATAACTAAGTAAGTATGCATTTGTTTCTTTTGGGGAGAAGACAGTTGCATACATTAAATCAGAAAGTACTTAGTGAAATTAAAATAATTCAATCTTGGTATTGTTTTAGGTTAAGGAGCTCACTGAAATGCTAGGAAATTCAGTAGTTCATCCCTCCCCTCTGTGTAGCAATGCTGAGTCTTGCCTGAAAAAATACATTCTGAAACTGCATTGTGTAAACTGCTTTTACGTGGGATTTTGGAAAGAGTGTGCACTCCCACTTAAAGTATGCATTTATTGAGTTTACAGAAAAACCTACATAATACTGATAAAAACTTTGGAGTTTTTGAAAACTCAGCTACATAATCAACTTTCAGCTCCTCTGTACATTCATATCACCTCATTCAATTAAAACAAAAACAGAAACATGCCCTGTAAGATGTCTAACAGCATCTGTAAACACCTACTGCCCCGTCATGCCATACTACGTCACATAAATGGCAAGATGCTACCATAAACAAGTTAAAGACTGAGTCAAAAAAGCCCTAGAAGGTGGAATCCCATCAACTGAGGTAGTACATTTGGTGGAGGGGAGAGATATGCATTCAACTCTCTTCAGACTAAAACCTTTTTAACAGTAATAAACAGATCTCATGTCGAATTCCCCCTCCCCAAACTAAAACTGTCAGAACAAGGTAGTTCTTCGTATGATTTCTGAAGAGCAGCAACGTGTTGGAGAAAGCAGCAAGAACTATAAAGTTTCAGCCTGGGCTGAAGAAATCCACACACTTGGACCATCAGCACACACGCCACTCCTAGATTAGTTTAATGCCTTGCCAAAAGGCAGATTTTTTTTTTTTTTTTTAATTTTATTTTTTTTAATAGTCTGTGTGGTAAAAATTGTGACAGCATTAGCCTTGAAATCACTAAGTGTGTTCTAAGGAAGTCAAAGCCAACTCTATGACAGCAAAGGTGTCTCTGCACACTTTGAAAAAACTGTCAGTGTGTTCAGATAAAAAGCCTACCAATGCCTTAGGAGAACTGAAACTGTCTTCTAATAAATTCAGCTATTAATTAAGAAGGACATGAAAAAGAAGAAGCACATGGGAATTTTTATATACACGCAGGGAAGGAGTTTCACAGTCCTACACACATGCACCCACGGGCTCCCCATACAGGGACAGTTCAGGAATACACAATTTGCTCTATGGTTCTCACGTGGTTTTGACCTTGTGAAATAGAATGAAATCTGCTAACAGATGCAGAGAAAAGCTTGCTTTCCAGTAGATACAAGGATTCACAGACCAAAGATATGAAAAATTTGCTTAATTACTCGTGGTAGGAGTACACCTGAACCACAGAAAGATTCTAGCCTCTGTAGGCTAGAGGCAAGTCTATGAAAATACAATAAAAGAAACACCTGGAATGTCAGATCAGAAAGCCAGCATACAAGGAACAGCTTTAGAATCTCTGTATCAGAATATTAGGTATCCCTCTACTTGGAAACAACCCCTCTCACAGTAAGCCAGCCTACCCATTTCCCCTCAAAAAGCAACACGAGGTTAATCAAGACCCCAATCACATTTAAACAACTCACAAAATGAACATTTCATAGTTTCAAATCATTTAAAGTTTACTGTAGAAAAGTC